TGTTAATCTACCTCTTGATAGTTTCCGCTTCTTGACAACTCTCACAGTCACGCAAGGCAGGAGGACAGAGTAAAGGGGTGCTGACCAGCTTATAACTAGCTAGAATGGCTTAGAGCAAGACTGAATAGGAAATGTTTTCTTCCCCAGTCTCAGAAAAATTTGAGAGAAATCAAAAAATGCTCCCATCCCATACTGGAGTGAAAAAAATAGATCTTGATTTTTTTTTTTTAATCTGAAAAAAAATTCTGTTCAGCTCAACTGAAACATTTTGTTCAGTAACTCTGGAAGATTTCATCAAGATTATGTCTTTATTCTTTGTCTAGATTTATTAAGTGTTGAGACGAAAACACCAGCCTAAAAATATGAAACGTTTTGGTTCAAATATCATAAAGTGTTCATTTGGGTTATTTCTAAATTAATTTTTATAAAAAAAAAAATCAGTTGGGAGTTTTGTCCAAACTTACTCTGTTTTATGAACAGTTTGGGTTTCAACAAATCCACATTTTTCACCAAAAAAGCAGTTTGCAGCAAATTCTCAACCATCTCCAAGTTTAGTCTATACTAAAAGCTCACCTCCCATGACTAGAGCATGGATTAGAAAAATCTTTCAGCATAATCACTCCAAAGATTTGTATCAAGAAATGTGACCCAAAAGCAAGAATCCCAGGTGCAGAAGACTCCCATAAGCCATGAATGCCAAACATAGCTTACTATGAAATATTAAATAGCTTGTCACTACCTTCTTGTTGTCTTTGTCAAATCTGTGGATCCCAACAGCTTCAGGTGTAATCTCCATCACATCAAAATAGAAACCTAAATCAAAACAAATTAAACTCCGTCATGTTTTCTCCTTGTGCAAAAGAAAACAAGGACAAATAAAAGTATCTTATTTCAGCAAATGACTAGAAAAATGCAATGCTCGTAACTTTAGGGCACTCACCAATGCAAGGTGACACAGTGAAGCACCTCATTCATAAAGCAGTGGAGCACATTTCTCACTCCTTCTCTGACCTTACTATCCTTGTGCTCAAAGGGAAATCTACCTAACAAATTGAGAAAGCAAGCTTGGGAACAAAAATTCATAAGATGGCTGGATATTAAGGGCACCTGTACGTGAGCAGGGAGGCTGCTCCAATGCTCTGTAATTAAAGCACATCGGAGGAGACTGGATTCACTGGATTTTTTATTGAATTAATTGAGTCTGCTGCAGCGTGGTAATTACAGCACTCCAGCACCTCCTGCATCTTCTGCATCCACATCCCCGCGCTTAAAAATGGTGGCAGGGGCACTTGAACTAACGTTCACCTTTAGCTCAAGCGCCCCCACCACCATTTTTAAGTGCAGGGACGCTGATACACAAAAAGCTGCGGTGCTTTAATTAGAGTGGCTCTTGGAGCCTCTCTAATTAAAGCCTCACCCCTTCCACTCCTGGAGCATGTGTAGAAGTGCTATATGAACCAAGCAGTAAACACTGATATTGTGTTTATGGCACATTATGTTTTGCCCAACTCCTGAATTCTTTCCAAACAGGAAAGCTGAGAATGACTCTCCTCCTTTCTGATTGGCTTTGATCTCCCAGGAATCATTTTGGTTTCTTCTGCTAATTGCGCGTCTGCTACCCCTGAGAATTTCTCTCCCTCCCTCCCCTCTCCTTTTTTCACTATGCTGTGCCTGGCTTCCTGTGATCAGAGACCTGACATCTATAAACTTACCGGGGGGGACCTGCGGGGAATGGGAGAGACCCTGCTCCCCTGAGCACTACCAGGAGTAACTAGGAATAATGGCCATAATCTGAGAGTAGGTTCAGGCTAGACATCAGAAGGCACTACTTCAGTCAGGGCAGCTAGGATCTGGAACCAACTTCCAAGAGAAGTGGTGCTGGCTCCTACCCTGGGGGTCTTCAAAAGGAGGCTAGATAATCACCGAGCCAGGGTTGTTTGACCCCAGCAGTCTTTCCTGCCCATGGCAGGGGGTTGGACTTGATGATCTGCTTGTGGCGGGTGCAGAGATCCCACCTCAGGAACACAGCTGGGTATTCGTATCCCTCCGCTGTTTCCACCACGTGAGGCGGGCCAGTAGGGGGTGCTCCTGCGTCAAGCCACCCACCTCCCTGCGCCCGACCACCTTCCAGGCTCCGAATGCCTCCCTAGGGGCGCCTTAT